CCCTGACTTCCTCCAATTGGTAGGTACCCCGCCGGACATGAGATTTGAAGATTTGGTTTTCATCCCTGGACCCTAGCAGGGACATTCATGGATGAGCACCAGTTGTTTCTTGCTTTAGCTTTTTCAAGCTTTCAAAGATCTGCGACCGAATCATGCCTAGATATAATATCATTCCCAGCAAATCAACACCCCCATCGACCGAATCATCTACTTGGTGGGAAGGTCCTGCAACGCAACTCGCTTGGACATCTGCGCCTTCTTCTGCGTCGACCCCCGTCTCACTCGCAAGAGCTGCGGGAGGGGCCTGGTTCTCAGCGTTTGGAGTGACACGTTCACCGAAGATCTTTGCCGAAAAAATGGTGAACCAGGTGAACCATGGTTCTAGTGGATTTGTTTCTATGGCTTTTCTTATTTAAGATGCTTTGTCAGGGGCCTCTTCCAAAAGATGAGTGCATTCCATTCACACTTGCAGTCTTAGACCTTTGAAAGCTTGCAAAGAAAGAACATTGTATTCCAATGTACTAGTATTCCAAGATATTCCAAGGTTCAGTCGAATGTGGATGTGTTTTCTTGGGGCTCACCCGAAGAATCCTTGAACCCATCACAAGGGCTTCTCCACCGAAACGCGGTCCAAACGAGTCCGAACCATAACCCGAACCATTTGAAGACGTTCCGGGGTCCGAACGGGAGTCTTGAGTCTTGGTCAGTCACTCTCAAACAGAGTGGGACCCACTTAGGGAGTCTTGGGACTCCAAAGGATGAATCCCCAAATCACTCAGCACTTCACATCGCATAGCCCAGTGGAGCGATGCCGGCCGGACGGCCCAGACGAGCATTGGAGCGTTCCGCTCGGCCAAAGGAAACGCATGCCGGGTGCCGTCTCCAAAGCGTGGGAGGCCATACCGTAGGGGTGGACATGGATCACATCTGCACTCATCTATGAGCCCTGGTTCATCAAAGTCGTTGCCCCTGGAAGACTTCTCCAAGAGCCTTGCATCGTTCTGCATCTGCTGTCAAAAGCTTTGCTTGCACCTTGCCTTCGCTCCACGCCCAGCCACGGGAATGGCAAGACAATCTTCAAACTTCACACCCCAAACGTGCCTGTACAAACTCACCTGAGCCCATCACCAACTGTTCTGAATTTTGCCGGTGCTGGAGCTTTTTTGATAGGCCCTGAGTGCAGCTCGTGCATGTGTGCACCACGACCGACGGCCGGGAGCTGACGACCGCGTTGGACGACCCGTCACTTGTGACGACTTGAGTGTGCTTTTCGATTAGCCACCCCCTTCAGTTCGACTGGGAAAATCCAATACAAACAAAATATATTGGTAGCTTCTTGTTACTAATGCCAGGAGCCCCGTTCGTAGCTTCTAGTAATGCCAGGAGCCAGGAGCCCCTAGTAGTTTCTTGTTGCTTATTAGCGATGCCAGGAGCCCCTGCAAGTTGGGAGGTTCCCCTATTCAAAATACAAACCCACTCTGAGAGATGCTGAAGCTAGTGACTAGAGATCGGTACCCGTGTCCGACACCACAAAGCGCATCGCGCCGCGGATCGGACGGTGAAGACACGTGACTGTCCAGGACACCAGTGGAGAAGCAGTTCAAGCATGGGGATAGACATGCTTCAGCATGGATAGAGAAGTGGCAGGTGATGTCGATCCATGATGTTGAGGTCAATAAATATGAACATTTCCCCAAAACATGGCCACGAATGTTCAGACTGGGCTCACTTTTCGTCAAACATGACGCACTACTGTACCTCTAGAAATCAAATAGACCTGCATGTAGCCGCTCTTTGGGTGGGGCACCACACAATACCACACACTGAAAAAACCTGCGTATCTTTTGAAACCTCACATATGTCTAGTCCGCCTCTTCAGCAAGCTGAAACTTCTGCAGGAGTTGGGCCTTCTGTAAAATCTCCTGGCCAGTGCAGTCCATCCGTTCGCACCCTTCTGCCCAAAACCCAATTCACCAGAAAAGAATCAAATTCGCAAACACCTCACGAAACGTCACCGATGCGGAAATCACAGGATGGGCCCCTTATAGTCACGTCACCATCACCCATCTCCAAGCTGCGCCATGGCCGTGACCTTCACCCGTTTCAACGTCTGGAAGCCGAGAAAAACCCTAGACGACCCCCGATTGAACAACCACGTCATATGTGGGTCGACTTCAGCCTATGTCAAAACAGGTTGAGCTGTGTTTCGTAGTAAAAAAACATCTTAATTACATAAAGTTATATTGATGGTTCTATTGGACAAGTCAGGCTACGCTACATCCACATTGATGTTAGCTTTCGGCCCCGGAGAGACCCGGGTCTCCTCTCGGAGTGCCTCCGACTCCTCCGCCTTAGAAGGAACGTATCGAAGTCGTAGTTGGGCGATTGTGGAGGATGAAGATGCATCAAGGTACCAGGGGACCCCTCAAAGGCATTCAAACCCAAACACTCCATGGGACTGGCATATTTACTTACATTGGGGTGGTTTTAGGGGTCAATGTAGGCATATATATGGCAGTCCCATGGAGTGTCTGGGAAAGGCATATTTGTTTGAGCAAAAGAACGAGTTTCTGATGGTTTGTGTGACACGTATGTGAAAACTATTGAAAACTGGTTTTGTTTTGCCGGAAGAGGTGTGCCAACCTGGAGCATCCCGGTGTGTCCCATGGTGTCGCCTTCGTGTAATTCGGGTATGTGGTCTACCGGTAACCTCTTGGATGGTCCTATAGTCATTGTTGGACCACGAACTGCGACTAGGACCATTACGGATTTGTAACAAAAAACCTCTCTTGGTTTGTATGTTCATCAGATTTCAAGATCATCCTTCGATCTACTCCAGCCCTTCGATCGACTCCAGCGGATGATGTGACGAAGAACGCTTAAGTTCTTTTCCATACCCAGACTACGCTTGTTTCTTGGAAAGGGGGTAATACCTGGGGTTCTGGATCTTTGAGCCACACCCATACCTCTATCCAGCACATCCAACAGAGCTAGGGCCTAGGGCAAATGACTTTTGCATGTCGATTCAAAGCAGGGTGCAATTGCCACTGAAGTTCCCGGTAGCTTCCCAGACTACGCCAGCTGTTTGGATGAATGAAATTCAATCGACCAGAGCCTACTGTACAAGCTATAGGAGCTTGGACAAACACCGATGTCAACGATGCTCTCGATCCGATGGGGTATGTGGATTCCAGCTCGTTACCTGAGAAAACCGAATCAAATGCAACAAGAAGGCAAAGGATCCTAGCTGTTGTTACCTTGAAACACATCAAACAGAGTACCCAAACAGTGGGAGTGGCAACATCCCAAACAGTTTTGGAGTCAAAGACCCACTTGATTGATACCCTCTTGAAACATTCAGGCATCGGTCAACATGAACCCTTGGAAGCCCCTGGAAGAATTGTCTCCCCCTCAGTCCTATACTCAATACAGGGTCCACTCAAAACATCTGAAGGTCAAAAGCACTGACTGATTCTATGGAATGAAGATGACCAGCGTCATGGAACAATCCTTCAGCTCAAAGAATGGTGCGGAATCCAGCAATTTCACACCATTCCTTCACTGCGGCCCGGGTGCTTGCACACCGAACCCGGGTGCCTGCGCCCGTCCGCACCCTTCTGTGCCTTCGCTCCAAGCAGCACTATTGCCTTCCACCACCAGTCCAGGCCCCCGCATCGCGGCGATGTGAGGGACGGCTCGGGGAGGAACAGAACATTCGATCTGCGGGGGAGATGCGACCAACAGACACCAACAGGTGTTCCCTTGTGGAAAGAACACCAACAGGTGAGATGTGTCCGGGCTTCCGGACCGCTGGATCGTGGATGGGGTGTGATTTTGATCAACAAAACACGGATGGTTCGGGCTCAGGAGCCCCGCCAAAGCTGGAATTGATCATCACCCAGTCTCTTTTCCGTTGACAAAGCCGCAGAACGGCAAGAGATGGCCCCCTGCTAACAGCAGCTCGGCTGGACCTATGACTGGGTCAGATTCATCAGGTCATGTACCCTCCCGCAAACTAACATGGAAGCTGAGAATGGACCGGTGGAAGACCATTTTCCTCTACAACCCAGTGGTTTTGGGGTTCATCTATGTCATCCCCTACATCCAATGGGTCGTGTGAGTCAGGCGGGGAGGTGGTGAGCGACTGCAGTGGTCGTTTGGTACAAAGAGAGGTTCTGTGTTTTTTTCTCCAAAAGCTTGTCATGGAGTGATTTCAGAGTACAAGTACATGGCACACGCCCCTCTGAGGTGAGCCAAGAGACAATGACATTCCTATCACCTCTCTCAGCCAATCACCTATCTCAGCCAATATCACCTCTCTCAGCCAATATCACCTCTCTCAGCCAATCTCTATCTAAAAAGTCAATGTCAATGTGATGTGTTCGATCTACTCTGAACTTGCTCTAAGCTTTTGGCAATGCGTTGCTGTCTCTGCGGTCACTTGAGAAGCGCTTCGAAAAGCGGAGCTGAAGCATGTTGCGACTTGATCAAAGTGCATCGACTTGTGACTGGCGGCGACTGGGGATGTGGGTTGGATGGCAAGTCCTTGCCTACCTTCTCGGTGCTGTGGTTTGACCATGCCCCAAGCTGCTCTGAATTCGGGCACACAAAGTTCATAGCAAACGTTCGATAAGCTGAAGAAAAGTGGTTCCCACCAACGCCCAAATAGACTCCACCGCGTCTAAGTCTGGGTGTCTATAGCGATGCCGGCGATTTCGAGGACTACAGAAGCGGTGGCACAGTTCCTGCGACTTTGAAGGCATGGCCGTGTCCAAGGGAGATGCTGACGCCGCATTTTACGCATCTCTTTACATAGTACATAGATGTTCACAACTAGGAACTCCAACACTCAACCAGCAACTTGACGGGCAAAGGCACCGTTTGAGTCATCTGTATACAGCGGAAACATTCTAAAAGCCATGACTTCATTGACCAAGCCTGTGGGTGATGAACAACTGCTGTTGAGATTGTGGCTGGATAAAGTGGGATAAAGTTGGTATCCTTAGATTCTCTACTTAGGCCAAGTGGGTCCTTCTGGCTGCCAGTCTACTAAGGACATCTCCATGTCACGTCCCACTGGTCCTTTGCCAGCTGTTGACAAACAAGTTCTCAAAAGCCTGGAAGTGCCACCCGGCGCCATACAGTCGCAGCGGGGGACTCATTTCTCAGCCACACATGCGTTCGGCTGCAGGTTCACGAGGCTCGTGTTGGATCCTAAGTGGAGGGGGAGGGTGGGAGAGGAGCTGCCCCAGAACTAACCCCCTTTTCAGCCCTTACAAATTCACTTCAAGGAGATGAGCCAAGTGAAGTCGGGTTCGTTCCCTCAAGCAAATGGGCAGATTAGCGGCAGACGGCTCCAGGACCGAAACTGAATCTCAGCTAACTGTAGAATCCAATCAAGTTGCTGATTAGTATATATAGAACCTAGATAAAACACATCATCTTAGCCTGCCTGCTGGCATTCTAATGACACTTGGAACCAAGCCAGGAAGCTGGACCAATGAGGCACTGTCTGTAGGGGGTTTGATGCCAGGCATACCAGACACCTATGTCCTATGTCGGTTGTTCACTAAATCGTATCCCCTTTATTCATCGACCAATAGTCAAAGGCAATCCATGGGCTGGGCATCCAACTGAGCGCGGTTGGGAATCTGCAGAATTCCATCAGTTGCCTTTTCAGACTTGGAATCTGCGGTCCAAAACCATCTGGGAAGCTTGAATGTATTCCACAACTGGTCCCACGGTTCTTACATTTGGTCTTTCCAAACCTTAAAGTTTTAGTGGTGTTTCCTCAGGTCGTTTCACCCTCTTCCGACTTCCAACACCTTGGAACTGGAGGAAGGTCAGGAGCGCTTGGGGCGCCCTTGGGGCACCCGACCCCACTGAAGGCCCCACCGGCCAAGAGATTGGAATGTATCTGCCGACGCTGCGACCGGAGGGCGCAAACCGATGGCTGCCTTCCTTCGATTTCTCCGTGGATCTTGCGATGGATCTCGAACTCTTTGGTCTGAAGGGGTGTGCTATAAGAGGAATCTCCTCCAGCACCTTCCAACAGGTCTCCGAAATGGAGGGTTGTTAGGCCCTAACCGAGTTTCAATTGGTGACCTGTGAAGTCGGTGCTGGCTGATATTCATGGCTTGATTTTACCTGGAAAAAAAGCACATCTTGGAGGTCGACTAGGTTTCTAGGATGGCCACAAAATCATGCGTAAGCAGCGGCGATGTGGATCCAACTCGTGACAAATCGTTGATGTCCAATGGCACTGTGCTCATGTCTCTTCTTCAATGCCTATCGGTACCCTCTAGGTGAGGTGCATCCCACTATAGCCCCCTGTGAGTCATCGCAGGTGGGCCCGTGGCGACTCGCACCATGCACCACGCATTCAGGGTCCACATGTTGGTGTCCTCCCACCATCGACTTCTGGAAGAAGGGAAGTAGACCAAGACCCATTGGTGTGAGGTCTCCTTATTAAATGACACAGCCATGTTAGAAATGACAAGTTGGACAAACAGCTCCTGGACGATTGGGAGTCTATATATATATATATATTGGAAGGAAGGTCCCTTACCAAAATGTTCGACACTGACATGTCCCAAAAGCCCCCCCAAACAGTCCCAAATGATTCGTTGAAGAAAACATCTCTCCACGTAATCCTAATTCAACAAGAAGAAAACTGTACTTATATGATATATATATATATACAGTACTGTATAATATGTATATATATACAAATATACCCGTTTGTGCATTTAAGATAGTTCCAAAGTTCCTGCAGGATGTCGCTGGGTCGCCCACTCCTTATTCCTGCTCAGCCCCAGAAGTGTAGCGGGGAAGCAGTGGCCGTTGCCGCTCCCACCATCCAGGCAGATCCCAAAGGGCGCAGGTTCTTTGCTGCAAAGTGGGTCTCAAACAATGTACAAGAAGGTCACAGTGAAGGCGTTCATTGAGCTGGAAAACCAAGCAGGGTGAACAGTTGTGATCTTTAGATAATTAATTAACTACATAAAGATAAATAAAGATCGTCAAAAGCCAGTACGTAGTTAAAAATGTGTGCGTTTCCAAGGGTGGGTGGGTTTTGAAGGGTGGGTGGCATAACTATACCATTCTCTTCAATTCCACACCTTCATTTTCATCCATCCATGTCACACGAATCTTTCTGATGGTCTTTGTCACGACCGGAACTGGCCGCCAAGCGCCAGCAGCTCCCGTAAGCTTGGCTGGCTTAATGTCCATCATGGGAGCCACTGATAGGGAGGGGATGGATGGAGCTAGTAGGGGGGTCAGAATGAATTACGAAACGCATGTCTGACATACACCTTTTGTATACATGCTGAATCATGCTGATATACATGTATTCTGTATATCTCTTTCAGAGAGGCATCCACCTTCCTGTGCCTTGGCCACCCCCCCCGCCTCGGCGCAGCGGAGATCCCCTCCGCACCCGCGGCGCGCACCGCCGCCCGCGCGCTGATGCGCATCTCGCGCCTGGTGCGGGTTCGGAGCTTGGAGGTATGATCGTCATCGCCGGCTTTTGTCACTTGTGCTCTGCTAAGTGATGGTAGCTTCTCTTTTTTGGGATGCAGTCATGACTGCATCATGCAAATCCAATGCCCTTTTGGCCAAAAGGATTGAAACTGCAAATTAAAGGTTACATCGTGTTCAAGCGCACCATGCTTAGGGTATGTATGGCAATGTATAGTATATTAGAGTATACTCCCCTGGGACTCGTGGTGCTAGTCTCCTCATGTTACACACTCAGGGGAGATCTAAGATAATACTTAATATGAAAGATGCCTGTATCAAACTTGGAGGAGAAAAATCCTAGAAGAAGGCCAACAATAAATGTTCCATAAACAGAATCAGATTAGATTTATCAGAATCTTCTAAGAAACACAAAAACGGTCCTTCTTGATCTGTTTTTGTTTCTTTTCGAATCGCACGCTATGCCACGATCCGTATCGGGAGATCCTCGCCACGCCTCTTCCGACGGCCGAGCCGGACTTTGCGGCGCGCGTCGTGCGGGAAGTGGCAGAACCTGGACGATGAACGTCCGATGAAACAGCAGGATGTCCAGGAAAGGATGAACAAAAGTCACATGTATATTTAGCACTATAGTTAGTATACATGAAGAAGTAACATAATCCTTTAACCATGGCTAGTTGGAGTTGTATTTTTCATGTTATCCTCACCACTATAGCCCATATCTGTTTTGACCAAACTCCTCTGATGCTCGATGTTCCAGCCATATGAACATCAACCCTGCTTGATCTGGCGGGTATCCTCATCACAGTCCGGGTCTTCTCACTCAACGGTGAACTCGGCCGAACTCGAGCATTGAGTTAAAATGGTTGTTGTTTCGCCGCAGTGAAGAAAAACACTTAACCCTTGGCCAATGTGATTTCAATGCTTTCCCCATGTTGATGTACCTCCTCTGAAACCGCAACCGGTCCAGAAAACCGTTGTAAGGGAACCGTTGTCGTGTCTCAGCCCCTGAGGCGAAACGTCGCTTCAAAGCGCAGTGACACGAGTGGACAGAGAGGGCTCATGTCCACTCATCCAAAAGCTTTTGAATTGTCATGTAGACTCTTGCTTAGGTAAAACACCGTCCTTTGAATCATAATTTTAGGTATATAAAATCATATAATTATCTTCAACATCTGGGGGATTTTCTTCAACAGTCGACATGACCAAACGGACACTGAAGAATCGCCGACATCAGTCCAAACGGATTCAGCACCTGTCTCAGCCCTCTCGGAATCGGCCGAGCGGCACACAGGCCACGCCCTCGGTACACGGCCGCCGTTCGCTGCCTGGGAGTCGCGGGGATGAGTGATTTCGGTGCAGCATGGGGGGGTCTATCATGAAACACGGGGAACGGTTCTTGAACAAGATCCGGATGAATGCTTCAAAAACATCCAATGTCCGAGATGGGAGCTGGAGACTGCCGAACCGAAAAAATGAGGGTGCCGACTTATATACGTTCAAGGTGACCTTGTGAGATCCAAGGATGGTCACTGGAAAGGCCTGTGAAAGGTCACTTAGACGTTCCAAAGAGGTCACTTTGAAGGCCCTGGAAAATCCGAAAATCCTCTCCTGGAATGACACTTTTGTAAGCTCCCCAGAGCACATGCTATCACAGGTCACTTTCAGAGATCCTAGAATGGGAGATTTAGTGTGCTTCCGGTGCTTCCTCTTAGCCACGTGAAAACCATTGGCAACTTCAATGGATTGGTTTGAAGCAACATCTACCGGAAACCGTGGTTTTCATACGTGTTCACCCTGCAAAACGGTGGCATTCCGCTAGATGTTCCTGTAAACCAATTCTGCAAAAATTGTGCGGAGTCTATTCTGTGCCCCCATGAGTCCCCCAGTCGTGGATGATCGCAAGTGGCTGTGGTGGGTTGAAATCCCACCAACTTCCCCAACAATACAGGAAGTGGAAAATGGATGAGAATGGTCCCCTCCAAAACATTCCAAAACTATGTCACACGATCGATGAAACTCAGTCCCAAACCTATGGTCTATAAAAGGTCTGTGGCCCAGTCTCACACACTTCTCCCACCCTTGGACCATACGATGCGTGTCCCTCCGCATCGCCTAGGAAGGCGCAGGGGCGGCACTCGCCAGATCCGTGCCTTGGACGTTAAGCCGAAGGTCGACCAGGGTGACCAGGGTGGATCTTGGGCGATCTATGCCTATCAGCCGAAGGCCGACAACGATCCTGACTGAAAGACCGGTGGCAGCCATGTTCAGAGCGACGTGAAAGCCTGGGGGGTCCGTCCGAATCGTACGGGGAACAGGGCGCTCGATCTACTCAGCTAGTTAGCATGCGCAGTAGACGTTGATTTCTGATGATTTCTTTACTTTGGAATCTTCTGGAGAACCTACTGGATGCCCACCAGCGGTGCCAAATGGTGCCAGCATGCTCTCGTGGGTTCGTGAGTGTTGGGAGTTTGGCTCTTTTGTGTCTGGTCGTGGGATTTTGTTCTATGTCTCCCGCGTGAGAAAACAGAAAAAACATCCAACATCCACAAGAGATTCACAGTTCTTGTTCCTCAGCATGGGTGCATCCTCCTTGCTGGACAGCCACGGCGGCTGCAGCGCATCGGTGGCTCACTCCGCCCTGACCCACCCCGCGTGCTTTGTCCGAACGAGGAGCAAAATGGAGCCGATCGAGGTCAGCTCGCCTGCCTGGGTCACGTTTTCAGGGTTGGATCGAGCGTTAGTGTAGAATCTTGATTGCATTAAACATATTTCAACCCACCCATTTCTTCAGTGTATTGTTAACATTATGTTTCAAACCCCGCCCAGACATGGATGGGCAACAAAAAACACATTTGTTTTTTTGGGGTGCTCAAATATAATAAACAGTCTACATGATTGGTTCTGTCAACAAACCCATTTCAATCCATATCAGCTCTAGAAGGGCCTCTCCGGCAAACTCGATAAACGAAACCTCTGTCACATAAGCTCGCATCAGCTAGCTGATAAGAGGCTACGGCTAAGCTTATATGGGCGTGGCCAGGTGAACATCGACATTCCAGGACTACAACCTGCAGGGTTCTGGGTCTAACATGTCTGAAGTGTTGATGAAGGAACGAGGCCGCGCCAAGGACCGACCAATCAACCCACATCAACACCAGTGGGTCGATCTTAACACACCAAATACTTGATGGATGCTGTCCTGGCACTGGATCGCTTGGGAGCAATGCCGGTTTACGAGTGTGCAAAATACAACATTCAGAATGCTCAACCTGGAAATAAACATCAGGGTCATTCTAAAGACGTTGACACCACTTTCGGCCCAGCGGTAGTTGGAGACGTTGACGCCACTTTTTATTTTTACAGGTGTTTGAGTCTTGAGGTTTTCCGGGTAAGCTTCAGGGACCTTTCCGATTGCCAATCAACCGGACACAAAACGATTCGTTGTAATCTATCTATATAATTATATATATGTTGGATCCTCTTTGGAGTATAGGCTGGGCATTCATTCAGAGATTGAGACCTTGTAGGACGCTGGAGTAGTATACATGGGATCTCTTGGTTGTTGCCCTGGCAAGTGCAAAGATCTTTGGGTCTCAGGGCCAGCGAGCCGGTTCGGACCAGCCGGTGGGTTTCGGCGGCGCGCAGCCAGAGCGTCAGTCCTTCGTTGACCCATTGGGTCATAAAACAAGGAATGAAAACTGACCATACGCTGAGCCGCTCCTTGATGATCCCTTGGCCACCAAATGCCCCTGAAAATGCCTCTCCTTCTTGCGGAAATCTGCATGAACCAAATCAAGGAGCACTTCTTGAGGAATCACAATCACATGGAACCACCTTGCTCCTCCGCCCCCAAACGTGTCTCCAATAACAACACACACACAAAAACAAACTAACAAAAATTGGCACCACCATCTCAGTGTCCCCAACACGCCCACCTCATCCAGGGGTACTTGCGCCAGCTCCTCTGCCTCCAGGCGAACAAGGAGTTTCATCCCACCCTGCCAGCTCAACCTGACAGGAAATTCAGTGTGTTCAACATGTTGTTATGTTAAAATTGGTTCATGGCAAAGGGGCGATGTGTTCTCCAATCAGAGCATGCCCCACATCCACAAAAAAACAAAATGGTCTACTTGGGGGGAACTTTAACTTTTCAGCACATACCTATTTGAGTACTTCTTCGCTACTACACCAACAACACATAAATACATCTATATATATATACATACGTGCTGTATGTGTATATACATATACACCCTGCAACATGAAGCCTTGTCTGAACCCAATGGAACCCACGCCCACAAATTGTTGGACGAAATTGTCCGGGATTCTTGTCAAGGCTCTCATTCTTTGATCGCAATCATCAAGATCGAATCATCACATTTACTGTAGCATCTGTAGCTTAAGTTTTCACCAGCATGCATACAGTGTACACATTTGGGTGATGCTTCTTTTTTTGGCGTAGGCGTAGTTGGACATACACATTGGAACCGCCAGGCCTTCGGACATCTTGCATGCACACGAAAATGTTCCCCACAAACTGAATAAACTACAGTATAAGACTAGGTCGGAACGGGAACTGTGATATAAGCATTTGCCGTTTGCCATTTGGGCCATCGGTTCCCGCGGCTTTGCGACAGAAACCCGCAAAAAAGTGGCCTCCAACTCGATGGGTTCCTGCAACACAAAACAAGTTGGCGCGAGAAACAAGCTGAACAGTTCCTTAAAAACTATAATTGAGATTGTACTATGATTGTACTGGTCTATGATCTCAAAACAATAAACAGTAAAGATGGTAATCATAGTACAATCTCAAAACAATAAAGTACCTTTGATCAGGTTAAGTTCCTTTTCTGTTTTGAGATTGTACTATGATTGAGTCCACCTTAACCTGAGCGACCCAATGTTTTGGAGGAGCAACCACCTAAAATAAGGGTCAAATGGGTTCAAGTTGCTCAATTTAGAAATAGTGGTGGGAGTGAAATGGTCATTGTGATGGTGACTATATCCATGTCCTGTTCTACTTCCACATGGTAGGTGTCCGCTTTCTATCGCCTTCTGAGTTTCAACGTTCTTATCTTAGCCTCTCTCGGTTTACTTGCCGGTTGTTGATGAAAGGCTATGACTATGCAGGAGCACCTGACCCAACGTAGAATTGAAAACGCCGTCATCGAAGACCAGTTCCCCTAAACGAAACACGTTAGGCACGCGCGGTGGCCAGGGCCGAGCCGCACTGCGGGCAATGCAGTGGACGTGTGACCGTGTGACGTCTTTAAACATGACCGTTGACTTGATGAAAAATTCTCCACATGGAGATGGACACCCATTGTGGAACCGGGGGATTTGATATCATCAACTGTCCACACTAAGCAGTCAGCCTTCCTCAATCCACATGACCCCAGCACCGCTGTGACTTGGTAAACTGAATGCAGGAACCAAACCATCCAAAAGCAGCGCTTGGCTTACAGGATCTTATAAGTTCATGCGGTCCAACTGGTGTTTACGATGCAGCAGCTCGGCCGAATGCCTCGTGAACAGCATTCGGAGAAGACTGAAGAAACTTGGAGACGATTACTAGGGTCCTTGGTCGTCACCATTTACTTTTAAGATGTGTTCAGCATACATCCCTTCAAACCAAAATTTACTCTACTTGGAATCTACTCTGACATTGTATCTGACATTCTTTCTGGAATGTATCTTGAAATTCTATCTGGAATGGTGTGTTCGGGTCGTGTGCGCAGACCTAGGAGAGGAGAGGAGTTGTACCTTTCATAAAATCTAGAGACCCTCACCTGGCAGGTGGGGAAAAACAACTTCATATTGCTCTATATTGCTCTCCTCTCCCTTCATGGAGAATAGATCTGCCCTAGTTATTTTCATGTATCCCTTCATCTTCTCCTCTTCTGCCACCGACTCCATCACCGACTCAGAGCCCGTCACGGAGCCCGGCTCCGAGGCGGAGCTGAAGACGGTGCCGGGAGGGGCACCTGGTGGTGGCAGGCGCCAAACCGAGGCGTATTTGTTTGGAGGATATAGGACGTATATGGACTTGTGATCGATGATCAACATCTACATCTGCCGATCATCTGCCTTGATATGAGTCATCCATTTGATGTTGAGTTCATAACTTCGCGGGTTTCGCATAGGCTGGTTTATGGGCTTTTGGATCCTCCCAGAGGTAGCCCAAAGGGATCGAACAAATGGCAAGGACGCCTTGGATCAACGAACTGAGCTGGCCCCATTTGAAGCTTCAAATCCCGCTAGACCAGCCGATAGCTATCTGGAAAGCGGAAATAGTCCTCTAAGAAATTGATCTTGACTCATATACATGAAGTTCAATCAATCCGCCGTGGCTCATGCCTTTTACCCGAAGTTCCTGCTTGATTCATGTTGCCCAGTCCCACCTGCTCCTGGCACCTCTGATCCCCTCCGTGCCTGAAATGTCCGTCGTAGGGGTCTTGGGCAAAGGCTGCACTTTGAACATCAGGGAATGCACCTGCTGTCCGTGGCCGAACCAGCAGAACCTCGATAAGGGACAGTCTCTTTGATTGGGGGGCCAAATCACTTTGATAGAAGTCCCGATACAGTGCTTCCCAAGAGCCCTGAAAAAGGTCCAAGATCATCGCATCATGGACAATTGATGAATTGTTGCACATTCTTATTCAGGTTCAAAATCATAAAATTAAACAGGATAAACATTGGATACACCAAGCAAGCCTTTCGGTTTCCCAGGTGAGCTTGCCCCATGCGGGCTTTGGTCACCCGACTGTGGCATGGTCGATCCTTTACGGCTGCGAACGGCAGCGTTCACCACGTGGCTGCATCTGTATACCACTGGTCCGGCCAGGAATTTGCGCTGCTCCCACAGTCACCTGTGCATTCAGGCCTTGGCGTCACTCACACCTTGCAAGGGATCTCTGCGGAGCCACCTTCCTGTCACCTTCCCAACGAAGCGCAGCTGCTTTGGCGCGCGGCGCGCGGGCGCCTGCCGGGCATAGCGCTTCTGAGGACCCTCAAGATCCTCCAAGGACCAACACCTGCGAGCACCTCGGCGGAAGATTTTCCTCTACAAGTGAGGCCTGTGCAGCTTCCATGATTGTTTGAGGGAGGGTAAGGATGTCTAACAGAACCCACTGGGTTTTAGTCTGCAACACGAGGTTGACCTTTGCTTGAGTGGTCTTTCGAGGCTAGGGCTGTGTCTTCAAATGATCTGAGGCGATCTTCTATTAAAGTCTCGACGACGATCTGGAGGCTCATCCTGCGGTCGTTTGGGGATACGCACCCACACATGTCATCGTGCCTAAATTGACCATGTGATCAGATCACATACATATAATAAACATATACTGACATGTGTATATGTATGCATGCGTATTCATGTGTATATATATGTGCAGTATATCAATCACATACACAAAAACCGCATTGCTAAAGGAAATGTAAAATAACTTTAAATAATATATATATATAACATACAAAAAACACATTGTTATATATTGTGAATATCCATTCTGTAGGGATCCAAGTAACTTCTCAGAAGGTACTTGGACCCTCCAAACCTACATAATTGTGTCTCCAATCACCTTCTCAGAAGGTATATATGTGGATCCATAGGGATTGGAATAGACAAATGGGGTTGTTCCATGGTTCCGGATCGAATCCTCTTTGTGTGCTAAACAAGCAACTTGATAGACTCCCTGGAATCATCATGGCAGTGGAGTTCACCACCTGTTTGTAGAGGATTTCATGGTCTTCAATGCCTTCCAAGGGCTATGCCATCCACTTTTATGATGATTGCAGGGAGTGTACATTGAGATATCACGGCCCACAGACCCATTGGGTTTCAACTCGGTGGAATCCTGTTTTCAATCGTTGATGGAGTGCTTGGCTTGGCGAGAGCAACATCTTCCGTTGGTTGGGGAATGCTTCAGGCAATTCGGAGCTGGCCTCCTGTCTCGCGCTCTTTCTAAAGGTTATCCAGTTATCCACTGTTTCATTCACCAGCTGCCAAACAAACAATGCGTTGTCCCACCATTTTGTCATGAATCCTCCAGCAAACCCGGTGGGAATTGGTTTCCTCTACAACCTAGGCATGGGCTTCAACCCATATTGACAACATCCTGTACCACCAGCAAGCCCCCCAAAAATGGAAACGCGACAAAAGCACAAACAAACTTCATGTAGCTCCCATACTGAAACTCCTAGTGAGGAAACAACTAATCCCCATGGACATGGAGTGAGCTTGACCTTTGCATTGCCAAAACAACAGGAACATAGAAAATCACCCAAGCTAAATCTGATAGCTGATGAGTCTGGGTGCGACTAAGGTTGGCAGAATATTGAGACCCTGACCCTGCAACCATTAATTTTAGTAGATGCCGTCCTTTCCTGGGGGTCCTGAGGGTTCCTCTTTCAAGACCCATATCAACGCGGCATTCCTGGAATGCTTCCTCCGATCGAAACCCATCGCGGGCCTGGGTGCAGGCCATCAGAACATGGAGGAAGGGAGAGGAAAGTGTTCCTCACATACCTCGTTGGGTTTCCAGGTTGGAAGTTTGTCTGCAAAATGCCGGGAAGAGCCATGAAGACACAGGGAGACAAAGCAGCCTAGCATTCAGAAGACCCATGGAAAGAAAAGGGGGACAAAGGAAAACAAAGCAAACAAAGCATCCGGAAGAGCCATGGAAAAGCAGATTCTGATGGGGCCGCGCGCCCCCGGCCCCTCGCCTTGCAGATCAACATAACGCCGCTCCCGCTATTAGACCCTAGTCGAGCCCGGGCAGCCGGTTGACCCGGACGACCAAACACGAGGAGCTCGTGCTATATATACATATACGCGTAATATACGCGCTGTTCAGCATGCAAGGGCCAACGCCCTCCAGGATTCCCCCTATTTCCACTGCAAAGCTTTCCCTAGGGATCCAAGTACCTTCTGAGAAGGTGTTTGGGCTGGGTTTGGAGGGTTCAAATACCTTCTGAGGAGGTACTTGGATCCCTAGGGTTTCAGAGCAACATGCTTTGATGACGAAAACCGCACCCGGATCGTCCACGTTCAGGCGAGGAGCTACGCGATGATATAGCCGGATGCCGGAATGGGAAGCTTGCAAGGTGGAGACACAGGAAGAGAAAAGGAGACAAAACACCAGCAAATAGTCTTGGCCCAGGATCGTTTCTATGCAAGAATTGAGAACCCCTCGCCTCGCAGCAAAGCTGTTTTTGGAAATGATAGACCTGTTCGCCTGGGTGTTCATGCAGTGAGCTTCGCGCCAAAGATGGTACCAGAACCAATCAATGCATCCGATTCCTGTCTCTTCGAACTTTTGCAGGACTTTGCACATCTTTGACCCACACCCGATCACATGCGCCACCAACAAATGAGAGTTTTCTCGTTGTAGGGGCCGTTGTGCCTGGTGAGACTAAATGATTTAAATGAACACACACATATAAAGCAAAAGACGAGCTACAGGCTGGTACGGGCGTCTGTAAACCCCGGGCCCCTACATCCGCCATCGCCCCACATGGCGCACGGGATGAAGACCTCCCCGCCGGCATCGGTCGGTGCGTAGGTCGCACCCTGCGGGCCGAGGTGCAAGAAAGCAAGTATGGATACCCTGGGAGTCCAAGACTAAGACCACTTTCTTAACGGTCTGACTTGGTGATCCGAGTTCAGGAACTTCCACTTGGGTGATGCCGAAAATAGTCTTTGGACTTCTAGGGGATGACTTTGATGTACACATTTCTAAGATTAAATATTCCCGAGGATGCAAAGTTAAAAAAGAAACACACACTAAGAAAGAAACAATTTCTGAACTTAGGCTTGGGATTCATGTCTCATTCATTACTCAAAAACATTAAAAAAAAAAACAAGTCTCTCTCCCTGTGGCTCAAACCGCATCGGGAGTTATCCCTAAGGATCCAATCGTACCTTCTCAGAAGAATGGACCCTCCAAACCAACATAACAGTGTCTCCAATCACCCAGAGGGTATGTGGATCCCTATAGGGTATAAAGGTGCACACCTGGCGTGAAAACAACATCACCGTATCGCCAGGATATGCCAGGTGCGGTGCGAAGGACTGAAAGACGACTGGCACGATCTAAAATGCATGTTGACTGTCGTCTGCGAGGGTGGATGACGAGAACAAGAAACATCCAGCAAGCACTGGCAAAAACAACCACAGCACCAGTAGCAACAACCATGACAAGAGCAGGGCCAATCTTCGGCAGCCTTCTCATCACCATGCTTCATTTGTTGCTGCCAACAAACACTTGAATTGGCCCCAATCTCAGTCCCATTGGATTCTTCGCTTCTGTGGGCGCTGTCCTGATGTAGACCCACTATTCTGTCATGGTCCGGAATGAAAACACGTCCTCAGGTCACGACTGGGTGCTGTAACAGAAAGGTCATGAGTCGCATCGAGATATGGCTCAGCCATGGCTCCAAGTAGAAAAGGGTACCATTTTAGTGCTGGTGTCCAGGGAGATGAAAAGGAGTCTACACTCCCTGACATCAATCATGCGAACAAACGTGGATGGCATGAAGGAAGAGTTCGGATGAAATCCGAATACCACACAGCTGGTGTGTGGTATAACACCAGCTATTCCACTTCCATGCTTCTTTCAGGGAGACCTGCCAATTCCTGGGCCGAACATGCTTTGGAGATGCTGGGAGCTGCCTGCCTCCGCCGCCATGAAAACCGCCGCCATGCATCATGCGTCTGGTCTGCGGTGGTTCATGCTTCGGTCTTTGAGTTTCGTGGAGTTTTTGAGATTTCAACATGCGAGAAAACGAAGGGGAATATACTGTAATGTCAATGGAATTCATAGATGAATTGATTGATCGTAAGATAATATCTGAAAACAATGACGTTCAACTGAATTCTGAGGAAACCTCTAAACCGCAAACATATCTCCAATCAAGTCTCCCAACTATAGGACCACCCCCCCAAAAAAGTATTCATCTATATTCGTCTACTTGAAACGGGCACTGGTATTCCAAACCACCGCATCTTCGTACGCCACATGTTCGGACGCCAAACCCTCGATTCAGCCAGGCAGCCCTGAGCCCCGTGGTGGAACCTGCTTAGAGCCCAGTGGATCCCAGCTAGCCACGCGTCGTTTTCGGAATCAGTATAGTTCAGGAAACTAGAGGCCCCCTGGTAGTTCCGGAAACCAGGGCTTAAGTCGAAGCACTGGTGACCTATATTTATGTGATAGATACCTGGTAACTGGATCCATACTGTGGGGGATGACTTTCTCCAGTGTGACTTTCTCCAAGCTTCCGTGATCGCTAAATGTCCAGCTCGGAGCCAGGATTGGGCAGGCGGCACGCGGGCATTGGAGTCCACTGGTCCCAGCCCAAGTGCCATGAGTTATCAATCTGTTTGATTTTGGTCATTGACAAGCTTTGGTGTCCTGATGCTTGCGAAATCACCGCGGATCCCGGATTCTGCATCCTGGATTTTAGATGATGTCAAGTTGATCGTTGTCCCATATCATCCAATAATCCAATATTCACACCAGCCATGCAAAGCAATCCACACCGCACCTGTTACCCCCCCCAAAACAATGATCTCTTTTGGTTGTTTGGTCGGTTCCGCGATTTCACGCGTCCAATGAACCACTGACCGCTTCCGCCAGTCCTTGCTGTGCCCATGAAACGAACCCCAAATCTATGATGCATAGTACAAAAATGTTCATGAATACATATTAATGATAGCCTTTTTGCAAAATGACAACAAACAAAGAGGCCCACGCACTCGACATTCCGGAATGTCCACATCCAGACTGCGTTTCCACGGGTGTCCAAAAGCAGTTCTTCCATGTTCTTCCTAATCCCCAAGTGATGGCCGGGCCGCAGACTTCAGCAGACTGAAACCCATTTCGCTCGTATCGATTGGGTCTATCCGTTCTTACCTGTAACAGTATGATGATGGTTGGGAAAGGCCTTGTTCAAAAGTGATGATAATTGTTTACTGACTGTTACAGGTAATAGGACAGACCCTAGGTATTGATATTGATTTGGTCTCCCATCTCACCAAAATTCAGCTTAGTGCGAATTGCTGCTGCTCTAAACAGCTCTGTTCCTGCCATCAGCTTGATTTGTGTAATATTTCTTTTGGTGCCGGACGAGAATTCGGGTCATGCTCGTCACACAGACTATCACAGACTCATTCTCGTTGGACCTATCACAGGTCCTGACCCAGATCGCACTATCACAGAGCTGGTTTTGTATGACCAGCTCCAGTGCGATCTAAGGCCTTTGACCGGTAGGGTAGAGTAATGAAATCTATTGCACCCAGGTCACCCAGACTCACCGGGTACACCTCACATCTCCCGATCCCTCGCAGCCGCTCGTGTGGAAAAATCTCGTCCCTCTGAGGAGTTGGGGACTCTGGGAACCTTCCATCAACCGGGATGCCCGAAAACATTGCTCTCGGATGATTTGGGAGAAGTCGTACTGACTGATGTGGTGGGGGTAGTGGTAGTAGTATGTAGTAGTGATGTTTGACCAATTCTCTGGTGGCGTCTACGGAGAGTGAAGTACTTCGGCCCCGCATGAAAACCGGATCCTTGACCTGTCCTGGAGCGGCTCTGGCACATCCTCCCAACTAGGCCTAGAACACATGCTAATGCAGTGGAAAGCTATACATCTGCATGATGTCACATCCCAATTTCCACCCTACGTACCATTAAGGGCTGGAACCAGGCGGGAGATCACACCAAGCAGTCCGTGTAATGTGGTTCTAGTGCGTCGTGCGACTCTTTAACACCGCCTGCGCGGCGCGTTGTACGGCGTTCCTCCTGCACTCCCACGTTGTACGGCGGTAAAACTCTTTACACCAAGCCGTCTGTTCACCCGACAGTGAAACTGATGATCCCGAATGAAACTCTTGCAGGGCTCGTGTGTGCTGTTTCGTCAACATAGAATGTTTGAAGGACAGAAAACACATTGGCATATCTCGACTGACCTTTGAATTACCAAATCCTATTATCTGATTGAAATGGACAAATTGGGAGCCAATACTTTTGGGATGCATATCTCAATATTTCTGCAAAACCACCTTTGGAACAATATCGTGATACGAGTGCTTGAGGGTGGAACCTTGGCTGTGGGTCATGCCACCAGGAGACCGACCGGTTGAAGCTGAAAGGTCCACCAGTGTGGCCAAGTGTTCCGGGTCAACACATCCCCATATACTCATATGACATCATGTGATGAGGCGAGATGAGCGGAAGAGTTGGTACCCTCCAACAATGAGTGGATCAAACGCAGCCTTTCTCCGATGAAATGAACAGTTTCTTTCGTTGCAAAGCACCTGCGTTAAGCCACATAAAGGTGCCGAAGAACACTGGATTTACCAAGAAAATACTTGCAAGGTATTTGCATTGTTCGTCGTGTTCATGCTAAAAAATTGGCCTCCCATCTACAGGTATGTACTGTAGTAGGATGACTTCAGCTACAACAATCAAATCAATAATTTCTTCAAAGCCACAACGTTGCTCAAGCACGCTCAAGCCTGCGGAAAATCATCGTCGTTAACCCCATAAATGAAGAAAGTAATTCTTCAAAATTGATAAAATTCAGTTGGTATTGTGTGAAATGGGTCTTAGCAGTGGGCATTTCCTGGCAATCATCAATCAAAAAATGTTCACTTGTACCAGACTCCAGTTACTTTCGTGTTGCTTTTTCCCACTTGACTCCACTCTGTGGTGCCACCACAAGGATGTTCTGCCATCTCAAGCTTTGACAGAACTCTCCGCCTCCTGCGATGATCAGGTTCCGAACAGGTCAAGGTGAAAAGGTGAGTGACGACGGAGGCGATTCTCTTCGCATGTAGCTTCAAAAGATAGATAGTCCAGAGGAGAATGACTACCCCATCGTTCATACCAGCATTAAAAGAATGCCGGTTGCCACAACCCGTATTGTTTTGCTTGTTTCAACATGGAACCCTCTCACGCACAATCACGCTCTTTCTTTACCCATCGCGATCGGCATTGTCACTTGATTGTGCTTTAGAATTGAGCCTTAGATTCCCAAGATCAAACCAAGTTTGCACTACAAGACATGCAGCACAAAGCCCATACATATGTAGCATCAAGTGGCTTTGAGATCCGTATTCCCATCGATCGAATCCGAAGCTTCAAGCAGCGTAGGAGCCACATGTGTCTTGTTTTCGGCTTTGCGAATGTAGCGATGCCTAAGATGATCAACTCAAACACCTCTTAAGCGTTGTGCGCGACCCATCTACAGCGTAAATAAAGATCCATGCAGCCACATGACTCTTGCTCCATTTCATTGAACCCTCATCGGCATATGTATGCCAGAAACGAGGATTCTCCAAGTGCTTGCGTACATGATGGATCAGGTGCCCAAAAGCCTCATGCAAAGCCATGACCACTATGTACACATGGTGTGATCTCATGCACGCAAATGCAACCAAGGGACATGCACTTTAGGAGTGACTAGCCATTCTTTTCTTCCATCCCTGGTGCATTGGAGGGATCAATCAAGAACATCTTTCATGGAAGAAGCTATATAGGTAGGTACACATCTAGGTACTTTCAAAGGAGAAGCCTGCCTTACTGCCATATCGTTGAGCGCAAGATAGGCATTGACATATTCACGACCTTCTCGGAACATTTGGTTTGCCGTCGAAGGGGTCCTCAGAAAACAGAAGCGAACCAAACAGTATCGATCTATAGATTATCACTTCCCAGCTGTAGACAATAATCATAGATGATCAAACCTAGGCACATGAAACGTTTGGACCTTTCCATAAAGCCCATGAACCTGGCCATGCTTCTCCTTGGGCAAGGACCGCACACAAGCTAGTGTCTTGCAAGGGAGAAGGGCAGGATTGATTAAGGGAAAATTATGTCAAAGGGGCTGGGCATGGAATGTCAGCATCAAACGATGACTTCGAAGCTCTGGATGGTTCTTCCAGCAATCCTCCAAACACCAACTCAGCCACTCCAATACCACGCGGCCATTGTAGGCCTTGTGGGTCCAGCAGATTTCGTTGTCCTTTTTTTTCACCTCAGGCTGCATGAAGACAAACCCACTAGAACATGGGAACGAACTAGAACTAGCTAGCCCACATGTTTCCTGCAATCCAGCTACCATTTTTTCTTTGAACTTTGGTTGAGAACATCGAATCTTTGAAGTTTTTAAGTACTCCTTGAAGTGGATCCAGGCATTGTCCAGGCAATCTTTGAATGAATCATCGTTTCCAAAATACTTGAGGTCCTCGATCAATAGAATCCTTGGCTAGCTCAATGCAGGAGTGGGTGGAGGCCAAATTCAATCAAATTCAGCAGAACGCACGGAAACCCAGTTGGAGAAGTTAGTGGTTTTGGGGGCTGGAGGCTGGGCACACCACCCAATCAAGGCGTTTGACCTGAATAGCAGCCCTAAATTCAGAATGTGCATTGAGCACCATCTTATCGCAGATGGATGGAATCCTGGAGCCGTCACCAAAGGATCTGGGACAGATCCACGGGTATCACCCCTGCAAAGGTTTTGGACACTTGTTTGATGCCAATTAGTCTATTATAACCACTAGTGGAAAAAATGCTGTGGCAGCTTGGTAGCAAAGTCCCCTGTCAGGCTGCCTGAGTGCCATGAACTCAGCCAAAGTGAATGGACTGTCGGCCCACAACGAATTCTCTTCCATATTCCAATAAGCATTGTTCCAATCGTCCGTCCTTTCTGCTTGGCACATCCAACAAACAGATT